GTTGTCTCTGTATCCCAGTCTATTTCTTTATAGTTAAAATCTCCCATGATTAATACATTGTCATAATTATTACAGACGTGTTTTACTATGGTAATTTTCAGCTTCCATAAAAATTTTTTTTTTTAAATGGGCCACAGTACAAAGACTAAGAGAGTTAGACATATAGGTGTTTGAGAAATTGAAAGAATTTTTATGTGCATTTGTCATAATTTTTTTAAAGTTATTTTAACAATATTTAAGTTAGAAATAATTCAGATTTCATATCAGGTCGATTTGCCGCGAATGTGTATGCTCAGCCCGGTTCAAAATGCATTTATGTTTCCAGCATTATCCGCGTTTGAAAGTGAAAATGGCGACTCTTCATCTTTTGGTGAGAAATGAAATGAATGGAGTTTTACGTCCTACTTTTCTGCACCATGTCGTCTTTTGTTGAGGCTGTGCCATATAAAGAAAAGACATTAAGAAATAGAAAGTGAAATTCCTCGTTTGAAATATTTTGACATATTTTCATATATTCAAACCACAAATCAACCCGCGAAAATCTATTCCTGAAAATGGCTCACATCAAATTTCAGAATAGGGAAACTTCTCTTTGTTTCAATAATCTATTTCACAATAATCAACTTTAAATATAGGAGTATAAAAATGTTATATACCATAGAAATGTAATGTAAATTATAGTTTTATGTAGAGATTTCTACACATTTGAAGGGAAACTTAGTAGTGGTCTGAATCCTATTGTACAAGGGAAGTAACTCTATTTCAAATATGGCGCCGTGAACTTCTTAAAATTAAAATATGCACTAAGAATCATGAGCAAACGAAAAATACCGCCTCTGCAAGGGTAACTAATGAGTTCAAATGCTTGAATAACCCGTTTTGTCTTTAACAATATATCCTTTTTGATAAAGGGTCACTCTCTACGTTACCAACTGCAATTTGTGGTGGGAATCCACAGACATAATCCACTTTCACTTTCAGACACTTATTTTATTTTTCCTCGTACAAACAATGCAATCGAACATAAAGCAAGCCAGCGATCTCTTGAACTATGAAAATGAAGTTTTGTTTTGAAATATTTATGCCAATTTTGTATCGCATGATTATTTTGATTTTCACTCTGGGAGAATCTGAAATACAGGCCTACCCAAGTGCTTGTGCCCAGAAGAGAGGGAATCACCAAGCCTATCTATCATCTTATCTATTTATATTTCATTAGGCTTAGTACTTCATTTTGTTAATAATTGAACAGAACAAATTTTTAGTTATTGCCCTCACTAAATACATTTAGATTTTGATTTGATATGTTTTAGAAGTACAGTTTTACCGGACATTGGTGGTTTACAATTAACATTCTTTTTGGTTTTTGAGTTATTTCCCTTGACCTAGTAAAAAAGCATCAATAAAATTTGGCTTGTGGACACTCTGAAGACAACTGTTTTTATCAAAGATTTTGATGAATCTCAGCATGCACAGGCATTTAGATTGATGATCGTCAAATTAAGAGATCAAAGTTATTAGGCTTCTTGATTCCACAGGGGTTATAATCCAATTGTGTTGATACATAGTCATGATGATCATTTCATTGTCGAAAGTTTGAATTTGATGATGATTTGTTCAATGTGTGGTTTTTTTTTATTTAATGTGATTAAGGAATTATAGACAAGGGACAAGTATTCAGAATTATGCAATAAGATGCTAGTTAAATACATATAGTTTATATATTTATTACTCTAGAACATACTTACTCCACACTGCAGCTGCACTTTCGGTGACAATGTTGCATGCAGGCTACTAAATGTTCATGACGTGTTCAATTTTCAGAACATGATAACATGCAGGTTTCTGAATATTCATAACTTGCTTAATTTCCATGGCATGTGCTCAATTTTAAAAGCATGTTACATGCAGGCTAATAAATGTTCATGACATGTGCTCAACTTCCATGGTATGTGCTTAATTTTCAGATCATGTCACATGCAGGCTTCATGACATGATTGTGCTCAATGTTCATGAAATGTGCCTAAAAACTCATAACATTCACACTATATTGTTGTCATAAAGCTGTTAAATTAATCTTATGTCCATTATTGTTTTCAGGGTTCAAAACATAACAAAGTTCTTTAAATCAGTAACAACAGAATCAGGTAAGCCTTTTTCTGCCAAATCATACCTCAACTTTCTGAACACAGTCTACTGAAATATCAGCTTCAAAATCACGGCCTATTTCAGCATCATAGATATTCTTAGTTGATCTGTTTATTGACTAGTGCATTCATATGAAACTTTGAAAGATTTTTATTTCAAATTTAAAAATAATTCTGAAATGATAAGTAGACACTATGGTTGGAAAGTAGTGTCTTTAATAAGCTTATTCACATGTCTGCTGATCTTTAAAGGGATTGCAAGGATGCAGATAGCATCAATTTCGACCATTCCAATATTCTGTCAAACATCGGGAACAACTTTTAGTGGAATTGCAGGAAATTTGTTCCAATAATATTTTTTTAGAAAAACCTCTTTACAATCCTTATATCCCGTAAATCTCATTGAATGCATGATGAACTTCTATGTTCTTATTTCTTTCTTGAATATGTGTTGATGTGCTTTGTATAGTGTGGCATGGTTTGGTATTCAGGGTATTTTTTTTAGCTCTTGCCTTTTATACATAACATATCCATCTCTATTGACATCTTCTGTATAAAATTATTGTCAAAAATCATTTGTGAATGTCTACAATCTTTTTTTTTTTTGGTACCAGTTTCATTTATTTTATAATTTTTATATAGGTACAGGTTCGCCATATTTTGACAAATTGTAACTTAGTCTCAGAATATGGGAAAATTTAGCTAAGCCAAATAGTAATAGTGTTCACAAATCACCGTAGGAATTTGAACCTTCAAATGTGTCGAGAATTATCTGTGTTCGAAAGCTATAAAGACCCGTTGATTGTTCTTTGAACGCTGCCTTATATTTGAAGGAACTATGTTATTTATGTACATTTCTAGTGCTTCTGAAGACTTTACATGGTATTCAAGACTCAAATGAACGCCCCTAAATGGTGAACAAATCCATTTAAAATTGAATTTTGTGAAGGCAATATAAAGGAAAGAAAATCTTGTAAAACAAAAATTATGTTTGGATGGCCTTAGTCAAAATGTCACTAAGGTCTGTCTGTCACTATACAATATAATTATCATGAATAACATATGACAACATTAGATATGCATTAGACAATATTATATTAGAATACCCCTCTCAGTTTAAATAGGATGTATAATTATGCAGGTAAAGCAAATGAGTAAGCTTACACTGAAAACAAAGGGACTGCATGGTATAATGTGTTTAGCAGAGATAAGCTTAAGCACTATCTTCTTTGCTATCCATGTCAAATTTCATCTTTCATAGATGATGTTAAACTCTTTCACACCATGTTGGTAAGGATTGTCCACAAGAAATGAGAAGCATATAGTATTAGTGTCATCCATGTGTGTTCGTCGATCGGTTAGTCCACAATTGATCATAAACACTGTAAAAGGCACAATTCTTGACAGATTTTGACAAAACTTGGTTAAGTGTTTGTTATCACTCAAGGATGAACCCTATTGAATAATCAGAAAAAAATTCCCTTGTTCTCAACACATTAAAATCAAAATAGAAAAAGAGTAGGCTAATGCCCCTGTCCTGGCAAAATTACGCTTATTGTACATTGCATTGTTGCATGTCTTCATTAGCCATTAAGTTGCATAAAAGTAGGATGTAAAACTCCATTCATTGCATTTTTGAAAACACCTTAAAGTTTTAGTTCTTAAATTCATTATAAGCCACAACTCCTGTTGGATTTTGATAAAAACTTGGTTATATTGTTCGTTATCACCCAAAAGTGTATGACTGGAGGTTGAATATTTTATTCTGGTGATTGTAACTGTACTTCCAAATATTCTTATTTAAAATCAAAGCTGCTAGTGGGCGTATATTACTTGTATTTACCTATCACTTTTTGTGCGAGGATAAAGGGAGAAACATGTCTAATCGTTGTATTAAACCTTCACTAGTGATTGTTGTTTCATAAAGCTGTGTCTATATATTGTAACAATTTCTAAATGCCACTTAAAGACCACAATCAAATTCCTAGATAAGTCTGTAAAAAGTTATAAATGTTACCTGAAACTTTGATAGGAACAAACTTCATCCAAATTTATTAACATTATTGCTTTAAAGTATCACTATAACTATGATAATTGTGAATTAACCTTAATCTGGGATGTAATATTTATAGGAGATCATTATTCTACTGTCCTTATCAAATGCAATTTCTTCTTTTTGTATCTCAAAAAAAAAAAAATTGGGAAGTCCATGGGTATCAGAAACCTTTTTAGACAAAAAGTGTCAAGTGAGATATGATAATATTTCTAAGGTTAGTCCAATTAAGTAAAGCTAAACACAATTTAGTCCATCAAATACACAAAATGAAAAAATAATTCTCAATAAAATATCATTGAAGAAATATTTGCAGAATGTGTGGAATTCGATTATTTTCACCAAAAATAAACCGCTTAATTTAATTTTTTCTAACCAAGATCATTTTCAAATTTATATGTTTTTCTGTAGTTTCTGCATATATCTCAACATGCAATCAAGTGAAATAAAAGCAAGCTGTTGCCAAATGAAGCTGAATTAAGACAAATTAAAAAAAGCATTATTTATTTATCTCCATACATGTCTGTTTGTTGAAAACAATTATGGTGCAATAAGTGTTGTGATGCCATTGGGACACATTTCTAAAGGTTTGCTCAACTGGCAAAAATGTGGGTCTTAGGATTTGTAGGAAGTTCTATCAATGACATGATAATTATTAAGTGTCGTAAGATGAAAAAATTATGTGAATATAGGTAATGTTTAACTAATTTCCTTTTTCTTTTTTTTCAGTTAAAGCTTTGTCAACAATTAATATAATTTTGTTTCTTTATAGGAAGAGCTAATTAGATATCTAGAATAAAATGAGTAACAGAGACAGATTGATTGAAGAATGGAGATTCCAACAACGTTTTCATCCTTACGAACATAGACCAGCTGATCATCAATTTTTGGAAGATGCTCATCATATGGATCCATCTGAAAGATACTATCGTTGGCATGAGCGCCCAAGTTTCCATCGTCCTGAACAAAGGCGTCATGGGTTCCATCATCCAAACCAACACCATCTTCGTTTTCATCCTCCCGAACAATACCATCCACATTTTCATCATTCAGATCAACAACATCAAAGGATTCATCAGGGCTTTATACCTGCACATCAACAACGACTGCATGAAGAATGCAGGGATCTAACTCTGGAGAGACAACATGTTTTTGAGGACTTGCATAGGCTCGAACAAAGAGTTCAAACTTTACGAATGTCAGACCAAACTGTAAATCATCAGAATTTCATTCAAGGTCAACGCCTCAACTTTGTTGCGGATAGACCTGAAAGCCATCCACCAAGAGTTCTCAATGGTCAATCTCACCCTGCAGGAGGAAATGTGTTAATACGTGCCACGCAAATAACCACAAGAATTAGGCCTCTAATGGGACCACTACCTTTACTACAGCAGTATGCACCAAGACAACTTGTCAGGCCATTACAAATAAATTCTTTTCCTGAGAGCCCTCGTACAGATCTTAAAGATAAGTCAAATGTGGTGGATACAGGTACTTCAGATAGTAAAGTTGTTTCTCAAGTAAAAACAAATATTGTAGAATCTGATGAATCTCCAAAAAACATTCCCAGATCATCATCGTCACTTGCAGACTCTCAAAATGGCCTAAAGCAAGAAGTTGAGTTAGAAATTGACAAGTCCATACCTCCATCAACTGTCCCAAATTCTTCTGCTACTCTCAAATTTTCAAAAATGCTAGATTGTACTCCAGATGAAAATATTACTGTTGCAAAAGAAAGAACTCCACAAACTTTACAGTCTGCCACAAAGCAAGCTACATCTAAGGATTTTCTTGACCAAGGTAATAGATTGTCAGTAAAATCCAACGAACAGATTAGATCAAGTGCCCAGGAGACAAAAGAGTCAAAACAAACAAAACCTGTGTCAGATGATACCAAAAGTCTACCCCAGCTTGAGAACCTAGTAATACCATGTTTAGCTGAAAGAATTTCATTACAGACCAAAGCTAAGCCTAATACTAACATCAATATTGCCAAAGATAAAGAATCCATGGTAGGAAAGTCTCCAAATCAACAATCTCAGCATAATAAACCAAAACAAATCCCAGAAATATCAAAATCTAATATTGAAAGTCTTCATCAGAACTCAAAAGTAAGAGCTGAAAGTCAAGGTATATCAAAACATTCATCTGCTCAAGAAGCCCTAGTTGTTGTTCCTTCTGATTTGCCAAATAAGATTTCAGACACCACTATTATAAAACAGATTCCAATATCAACAAAGTCAGGAGACGTTAAAAAAGTAGAATCTCCTGTCAGTAAGAGCTTTCTGCTTGATAGAAATTTTGAACCGATAAAATCTGTTGTCTCATCAAGAAGTCCAACTAAGTCGAGAAGTAGTGAGAGAAAAACTACTAACTTGAAATCATGTGAATCTTATGGAGGTAAAGATGTGAAAGATACAATGTCATCCAGTATGAAAGTTAATAGAGAGTCAACAAACATCATTTGTATTACAGCAGTGGACTCCAATAAAAACAATAAAGAATCAATAAAAGGAGCCCAAGAACAAGGATCATCAACACCCTTCTCACCTCCTATGCAGATTCAAGTCATTACATCTAGGTTCAAAAATCCTTCGTCAATCTCTAAGACGCGTGAAAGGGATGGCAAAACAAATCTGTCCATAACATCAAATATTTCTTCATCAAATCAAATGGCCATAACAAGTCTTCCCTCATATCCATCAGCTGCTTCACCAATCAAACCAGCTAGAAAAATAGAAGAGAGTTTTGGATTTGAGACAAATGCTTCATCTGTAATTGACTCAATAAAAGCTCAACCAACAAAAGAGTCATGCCATTCTTACACTAAAGATTCCATTTCGCCAAAATTTCTGGATTCTGTGAAATTTCAGAGTCAATCAGTACCACAACCTACCAAACTCCTAAAAGACATCTTGCTAGATATTGGACTTGATGTCAAACCATTTGAAAGCAAACAAGAGCAGAGAAATGAAACAGAAAGCATCAGCGCTGATCTGAGTAATTCCAATGAAAATGAGGAAGGTGGTAAAGCAGATGAAAAGAAAACAAAAGACCCTGGTAAAATTACGAAAGTACCAAATTTTGATGCTGTAAAGAAAACACAGATCTCAATGCTTGAATTAAAGTCAATAATTGAAAAGGTTCAGGATATCAAGGTGGTTGATGGTCACAAAGGGTTGCATTCCAAAATGACAAATGATGACTGTCACACTACCAAGGGTCCTAACTCTGGTGGAGAGAATTCAGCTATAACAAACACCATTCCCATAAATGAAATTAAAACAATTATGAAAATGGCTAAGGAAGTTGAAAAGCCTGAGCATAAATCAAAAGGATATGAGGACTATGATGCTAGAAACTATGGTAGGGAAGCTTATGAACAAAATTCCATTGCTATCAAACTTCCACAAAGAACTGAAAAAACTATTGATGATTTGATAAGTGGCTCAGATGATGAAGGTGAAATGGAGGAAGATGACACATTTTCAAGAAGAAGTAGATCAAAGTCCAAAAATAGTCCTGATGCTCAAAACTTGTCGGGGAGGTACAATTCAAAAAGTAATAGATCTTCTTCAGGGGACAAGTCTCCAAGAAAATCACTTTCTTCAAAGGAGAGGTATCCAAAAAGTTATAATTCTCAAAGTCAGTATGATTTAAGTTCTGAAAGATCCATGGAAGATCGACCAGAAGATGGGACTACTATTACTTCAAGTTACAGTGCTTATGTGAGTCCTAGGAAAAATAGACATTATCAAACTGATAGTATGAGGCCCAGTATTAGGAATTCAGATGACAACATGCATTCTAGATGGACATCTTGGAAAAAAACTGAGCTTGAAAAGAAAGATTTGGATGAAAGAAAATTTTCAAGATGGAATGATTTAAGTCGGAGAAGCCATGCCAGAAAGAATTTGAGTGAAAGGAAAGATTTAGATGAAAGGAGTCTTTCTAGAAAAGATTCAAGTGAAAAGAGTCATTCTAGAAAAGTCTCAAGTGAAAAGAAAGGTTCAGATGAAAGAAAATTTTCAAGATGGAATGACTCAAGTGAAAAGAGTCTTTCTAGAAAATATTCAAGTGAAAAGAGTCATTCTAGAAAAGACTCAAGTGAAAAGAAAGATTCAGATGAAAGAAGATTAACAAAATGTGATGATTCAAGTGAAAATAGCCATACTAGAAAGGACTCAAATGAAAAGAAAGATTCAGATGAAAGAAGATTTTCAAGATGGAATGACTCAAGAGAAAAGTGTCATTCTAGAAAAGATTCATGGGAAAAGCAAGATTCAGATGACAAAAGATTTTCAAGATGGAATGACGCAAGTGAAAATAGCCATTCTAGAAAAGATTCAAGTGAAAAGAGTCATTCTAGAAAAGATTCAAGTGAAAATAGCCATTCTAGAAAAGATTCAAGTGAAAATAAAGATTCAGATGAAAGAAGATTTTCGAGATGGGATGACTCAGGTGATAGAAACCTTTCACTAATGGATTCAAGTGCAAATAAAAATTCAGATGAAAGAAGATATTCAAGCTTGGATGATAATGATTACAGAAGATCGCCAATAAGAGATAACTGTAGAAGTTCCATTTACACTAACTATGACTACAGAAGTGGACAGTTTTATGATTCAACAAAAACTTATTCAACTTTAGCTGGGCGTCATAAAGAGTCTTATTCAACTCCAAGTCCAATGAAGCATTATTCAATTAGGAGTCAAACCAAGTCTACTTCCGCTAGGAGTCTAACCAAATCTTCTTCAGCTAAGAGCCCAACCAAGTCTTCTTCCACTAGGAGTCCAACCAAGTCTTCTTCAGCTAAAAGTCCAACTAGGTCTTCTTCAGCTAGGAGTAGAGCCAGGTCTTCTTCAGCTAGAAGTCCAGAAAAGCCTTCTTCGTCTAGGAGTCTTATGATGTCGTCTTTGGCTAGTAACCCAAAAAAGTCCAAATCAAACAGCAGTCCTACAAAGGGACCCTTCTCATTTTCAAAGCATAGTCCTTACAAGAAGGGATTATCAAGTAGAAGAAATCTGTATGAGAATGAATTAAACAAGGATTGTCGAAAGCATCAGCCACCCACAACTATTGTACCATCAAGAAGAGAGGTAGTGACCTATGGTGATATGGATCAATACAGGAAAGATCCTGATGTTGATAGTGAAGCCTTAAGGAATACCTTCAATGATGCCACCAAACATACCAACTTTGATTGGTACAGTACTGGTTCGTCTGTTGAGGAAGGTGAAATTAAGGATGTTGGTTTCAGAAATGGCTCAGAGAAGAAGAAAAGAACACTAGAAATCATAAGCATAACACCACCAACTGTTGCATCAATTGAATCATTTACAGCAGACAGAGATTACAGAAAGTCTCCTGAAATTGTCTCCAAAGTGTCCAACACCAAGAATTCTGGTAAATATTCACCCATCACTTGTGATTCAATCAGGGATCAAAGATCGTATGAACCTTCCAGACCTTCACTTTATGAATTAACTATGAAGGATGTAGATTATAAAACAGTATTCTGTAAATCAAAGGGAAATATGATTAGTCCTGAGAGCTCCTCAGTACCTAATAAGGGTATCAACATTCTTCAAGAACCAAGAAATGAAACTGAACAGCGGATATCTTCGAGATTTGCAGACACTACAAAGATATCAAAGGATGGTCAAGAAATAAAATCCAAACCAGAAATATTCCCCTCCACAGTAGGTCTTGAGCTATCACAGAAAAAGACAAGTGTTGATGATGAATCTTGTGTTACCATAGAAAATAGTCTCTCTAAAATATCTCTAAAAATTACTGAAGGTTTTTCTGTTCCTTCCATAAAAGAAACAGGCACGTCTACTCAAAAAATTTTGCAGCCTGAAGTAGATCTTAATCTGAAATCTCAAAATAGAATTGCCAGAAAGTCAAGGTGGGATATCAAAGTAGGGTCAATGAAACCAACAGCAAAGAGAGAAGAAATGTTTAGGAAAGATCAGCTTAAGAAAGCTGTTTCAGCAATGGCTGTAGATCCTTCAATCATAGAAAATTTAGTAGAGTATGTTAGTGACCAATCAACACCTCCAATGGAAGAGAGATTTTCAAATATTGTTGAAGAAGCTGTTAAAATAGATCCTGAAGCACACCCTACAAAAACAGTTGTCGAAGCTAATGCAATATCAACAGAGGTTCACCCTGCAGAAACAGTTGCAAAGATAGCACCTGATGCATACACTACAAACATAGTTATAGAAACTTCGTCTAACATAGTGTTTGAAGATTATTCCACAGATAGAGCGGCTGAAGCAGAAAAGAATTTTGCATCAGCTTCATCCAGAGAACCTGAATTTCATGACTTCAACCCTGCAAGTGACCCATATATTGATGAGGTTTCTGAACATTGTGATGCAACAATCAAAGGCATAGCTGGAGGTACAAAGCCAACCAAAACCACAAACAATACAATTGAGTTGACTTATTCAAATCCTCAAGGCTGTAAAAGTTCTCAACCAATTGCTACTTCCTGTTCAGAGAAAGCAACAAATAACATCACTGGTCCTACTCTCTGTTCAACTTCTGATTCTGATACTGGAAAAGATAAGAAAGAACCTAAAAAAGAAAAGCATGACCAAAAAAAATATTTTGCTTCGAAAGTTATAAATAACTCAAAACAAAGACATTCATCTGAAAATAGCAAGAAAAAGTATTCTTCAAAACTAAGCAGTGGGGTTGATAATGAGATGTTTTCCAAATATAAATGTACCAAGTCAGGCGTGCCAAAGCCTCCAATTTCATCTTCTGGAATTTCTGATGATTCTTCAAAATCATTTAAAGCAAAGCGTCGCCACAAGTCTAGTGTTCAATTGAGAGTGCAATCAGAGAGTTTCAATATTTTATCATCCATCAACCCAATTGTAATAGACTCCTCTTCATCATCAGAGACAGAGGGAAAGAGTTTTCAGGCTGTTACACCACAGGTTCAATCAGTCCAAAAGGATGAAGTGGTTATTTATGTGTCATCAAGCGAAAGTGACGTACAGTGCACAATGTCTCCCTTGAAGATTCAGGGAAAGAAGAAGGTTAATACAACATCTGTAGCAAAGTTGGATGCAAGAGGAACATCTTCAGTGTCAAAGAATCATGAAGAGGTGAATATTGATAAGGAATTGGTTATCCTTGTGAAAGACATTTATCCTAACAAAACCAAAGATGCTCGGATAAGCAAGATGCCAGAAAATGATGCGGAAAAAAATCAAACGAAAGATTTGGCAACCAATCCAGATCAACCAAAGAATCAACATAAATTGAAATTAAAAATACCCAAGAAAACTGGAACTCTGCAATGTAAAGAAGACCTATCTGGAGATAACAGTTCTTTTGGTTCATTTCTGGAACAACAGAGTCATGAATACTTAAAGAAAAGAATTAAATCTAGTAAGTCACTTCTGAACTTGCCTTTTCTATGAGTGCTTTTGAATTCAATTTTTTTTTTTTCTTTTTTTTTTTTTACTTTCTCTTTGATGCTGTATCAGAACTGACAATTTTTCAACACCTTTTATTCAAAATTATGTTCAAATCTTTTAAATTTGAAAAAATTAATTTTTGAAATTAAAAAAAAATGAGAAATATCTAGATTTATGGCTTCCATGATATTAAAAAGTTAAATGGTTTTTGTTTGCTCATTAATTTTAAGAATATGTTTGTTTTTGTAAACAGGTTTTTTTAATTTTTTATGTGGCTTGGGGACACTGATAGTATCAATATGCACCATTCCAATTTCAGACATCAATTCCTCTAAAACGAAGTGTCATAATCGCAAAGGGCCTTATGTAACGTAGCATATTTTGCAATTAGTGACGTCATCAAACACTTATTTATTGTGGATTTGCACAGACTATAGATGTCTGATTGAAAATTAGAATGGTGCAAATTGATGCTATTATTGTCCCAGATACACACAAACAATTTAGAGAACCTCTTTACAATCTCTTTAAAAGTGTGTTTTTTACTTGGTAACTAACATTAGAATTTTCAAGTGCTAATTTTTTTATAAGCTTATTGAGTTGGGAGTTTTATAAAAAAAAATCTTATCTGAAGCCTCTTTTTATATTTAAAGTATCATTTTTTTCAGACAAAAGATTTGTTAGGTAACATAAAAATCTTGGTTTGATGTATTAATGGTTTTTTTGGTGCAATTTTTAAGTTTACCAATTTTACGCTTAATGCTTCTGCTTATCTGTATATTTGCTATGTGGCTGAAGCTGCCTTCATTTTAGGCCAAATGTACAATGTAGTGGAAACTGACTCTCAGAGCATTAACACAGGCAACACAATCTTTTCTTAGTTTGAGGAGGATTCAAACTCACGATGCCTAAAGATGGGAACAATTACATGTATGTAATAATGGATATGTTTGATCATAATTCAGCTTTTTAAATTATCAAAATCAGAAATAGAGACAAGATGTTAAGCAAATAAGCCAAAACTACAAATTATGAGTTTTTAGCCTCACAGTCTTTTTGTGCTGAAAAAATCCAAATTTGAAGAAAGTTAGCTTACATGTTTTAGATATGCACATGCACATATAGTATTGTATCCCTTAGTGTTGTATATAATTATGCCACACTGACACTTACACAATTTTTGTCCCTGCAATGGAGCTCATTGGAGCGCAAAATTTGCGGCCTGTTCACACACACAAACTGTATAATAACACAATGTATAATCAACAAATTACACGCTTTGTTAACGCATTGGTGGAGTATTGACTGTGCATTGATCAAGCTGGATCATGTGATTGCACTGTGTTCATGCATGGGTCACGCGAGTGACCAGCACATTGTACAGAAATTAATGCATTACAAAATTTTGAAAATTTTAAAATTCTCTGTATGACATGGCTTGCACCCTTCATTCACTTCTCATGTTAATTCAGGAAAACATTAATCATTGGCATGCCAAAATGCTTATCATTGTTTGAATACAGATTGTACAAGTGTCATTATGATTTCAGATAGTATATTGCATGGCATTTATAGAAATACAGTTAGAATGTGGACATATCATTTCAAAATTGTTATAACAAATGTTTTGGGGGTATCCTTATAGTTTTGAAAAAGAGTGAAAGTACATAAATAACATTGTCTAAGCCATGCATGTCCTTATTTTATACTTGAGTAAAAAAAATGTGTGGCAGATTTTAATTAGAAAAAAGATATGGATGACTGAAATTTATCCATAGCAGCGTGACTGTATTCCTTTAAAGTTTGACAGTAACATGAAGGTCTTATTACAAGATATAAGGCATAGGTGGTGCTAATGTCTTCATCTGTTGTAAGGAAGAGATTTGACTGGTAAATAGTTAAATTGAGAAAGTAGAGAGTTAGTTGTTATTAAAATTGATATCTTGTGTAATTGTGCAATGTACCTGTTATTTTTAAGTGTGTTTCAACTATTATAATGCTTCAAGTTTGCTCATACAATAATAAATTTTCACTGTTAAAATAGTGCTCCCTTGTAGTGTGATATAAAAAATATTCTATAAACAGAACTTGAATCATGTTGTTACTCAGACTTTCATATTGTGTGATCACCACATAGCATGAAACTCTGAGTAACAACATGATTCAAGTTCTGTTTAATATTTCTATGCCCTTAAATGTAAAATATTATGTAGATAGAACTTCTCTTGCTTGAGTCTAGTTTAAAATTCTTAGTCAGTCAGAGGTCTTATACAGCAAGTTATTTTAACTTACGATATTTTGATAAGTATAGCTTTCCCAAGTGCAGATTCCAAAAAGCAACAACAATTTGGACTTTTCTTTCTCTTTTCAGATAAATCTCCTAAAAGATTCTCAGTTAAACCTTTGAGCCTTCCTTCAACTCCAGATAAAAATGTTATGGAATATCCTACAGTGAAACATCTGGCAGACAGATCATTATCCTGCGATGATTCCAAACATTTTAAGACACCGGATAAACCAAAACTCAGCAGTGATAGCCTTCTGCTAAGGGAATCGACTCTCAGTGGATTTAAAAAGAATTTGGAAAAATCACCAATTCTGAAAGCTAAACTTAAAAGTTCCAGTCCTGGCAATCAAAAGAGTCAAGCAGGTTATTGGAATTCAGGAGAATCTTCAAAGATAATGAAAGAAGGACTATCAGCTGTTAGATCTTCTATAGAAGAACCCATCAATGATGATATAGTTCAGTCAAATAATGGTAAGTATATATAAAATAGATTATATTATATAATGTAAGCTTATATTATTTATGCAGGGTTCAATATAGATTGTGAAATTTGATTAGCAATTCATCACACCAAATTTTTTTTTTTTATAAGTTATATTTTGATTGGCATTTCTCCTATAGTTTTTGCATGTATATATATCTTGGTTTGGTAGATTTGAGGTTAATAAATATGTTTGAAAACCCTGAACCTTAGGAGGTGTGAAAAAAAACCCATAAAACAGTGCCAAATTTTTCTAACCTTACAGTTGACAACTGTCAAAATAGCTATTAGAGGTTGGATTAGAGGCAGATTGCTCTTCATTTAATGACATTGTAGTTCAATATCTATTGAATACATATTACACAGGGTTATTTTTGTGTGTTTTAAACTAGGTATTTTATGAACCATCTGTTTTATGAAAAATTATGATATTTGAACCATGGTCCATCAATTTCACTAAACTAAATGTTTTATGATGTCATTATGTCCAAATTTGCTAATGATATCTTGGGGCACTTGTCCAATATCTAAGTCATATATAAAAAAAAAAAAAATGCACCTTAACTAAATGGTGTAAAACAGAGTCCCTGAGCAGATAGGGCACCCTTAGAACTTATAGTATCAATATTGTTTCTATCATAGGACTCAAGCTTCTTCATAGCATTCCCTTCTTATTTGATAAATTTGTATTACAATGTTATATACCCCTTATATTTCTTTTAAAACCTTTCACTGGTCAACGATACAATTCTAATACATTTTTTAATTATTTTTTCTAAAAATTAAAAAGTACATTTTTAGAATTGATTTTTTTTGGTGTGGATTGGATCAATCTCTTCCATATTTAGAATTATTGAAATATAGGAATCCATGTTCCAAACATTTAAGAATATTCCTGGCACTCGGCTTGCGTTATAGTCTTATTCACAATATTCAAATGGCTATAAAAACGGATGTAGACATCGTACAACAAAATCAAAAGCACCATGTGATAGATTTCTATCAAGGGCTATGACTTTTCGTCAGACTACTGGTCACCAAAGGTTTGAAAATAACTGTTTTTGGAAGCCTATAAAACCGGAAGTAGGTGTCAGACATCAAAGATCAAAGTATGAATTGACAATATAGATCAATGACCTTTGACTTTGAAAAGCTCAAGGTCATCCATGTGAAAGGTCAAAAAGGCAAATTTAGTAAATTAACCTCCAAAATATTATAGGTGACAATTATATACTTTGCGAGTAAATAAATAACAAATATATAAGGTAAATGTGAATCTAGCCCGGATGTGCCACGCCCATCTCTTAATTTTTGTCACATCTGTTATTATGTGTACAATGCTAAGCTATGTTAAAGATTTCAAGCGTCTAAAGTTATTAGATCATGAGATATCCATACTTCATGTTAAAGGCTTGAGATTTTATGGCAATTGTCAAATTACGCACAGTTACTATAGAAGTCTGTTCAAAATTTTAGAATTTTGAAAAGCGCAATTTTGATCAAAATATCTAGTGTTATATACCATTGGAAAGAAGAGGTAGCCCGTGATAAAGATATATGAAAAATTTTGTCATATGTAAATTAGGTCACGTGGCACAGCTCTTTAAAATTAAAAATTGCTATTTTCAAATGGCTGTAAAACCGGAAGTTTACATTGCACAGCAAAACTGAAGACACCATCGGATAGATCTTGTCAGGGGTAACAAATTTTGTGCGAGTCATAAGGTCACCAAAGGTCAAGGTCTCGAATTATGGACCTTAAAATATTTTGCATTCACTGGATAAAAATGACCAGAAATATGAGAAAAGACATCAACATCCCACACATCCGATTAACCCTAAGGCCCAATTTCTCGCTTTACAAAAGTGAGTCATATCAATATGGCGGTTGACCTGTTACTTCCGGGTCGGATTTTTTGAATATTATATCTTTACATGGGCAATTCTAGCTTATTGCAAAAAAAATTTTTCAAATATCTTCAAACTTCAAAATTCCAGAAGTTGAAATTTTCAGTTAAAAAGCGAATAATGTCAAAACTGGAAGTGCTATCGAAAATATGAAAATAGAATTTACTTCAAAATGACTATGTACCTGTAAATTTTCAGATTGATTAAAATTAAATTTTAAAAGTTAAAAAATACTCAAATTTCCGGTTTCACGAGTTTGACAAGGAAATCGAAAAAGTGAGAATGTGGCATGCATAGTTTAGGCTGGGCAATGGCAGCAGAATTCGAAAAAAAAAAACATTTGCAAAACAAAGCAGTGGGTTCGATAGAACACACTGCAATTACATGAATGAATTAGGATCATTTATAGATTTATAGACATTTGTATAAAGTGAATTGCTTTCCCATCTACTGATTAATAAGGAGATGTGGTTGAAATGACTATGGAGCTTTAATTGTTAGGTTTCTGGTTAGTTTTAATATGTGAATTTTTCATTCATTTTTCAACGTATTGCTCTGAAATTTGTCTGTCAAATATTTGATCAATAGAAGCAGCTTTATGCTTTGTGGACATTTTTTGCAACAGCTTGTTCATGTAACTATAAATGTGATTGAAGTTTTGTGTTAGTAATGGTAATGTACCATACAGAACATATTAACAGTTGATTTATGATGTGGATTCAGACAACTGTTTTGACTTAACAGTTGACAGTTTTCTATATTTACTGCTATAAAGGCTGTTCGAGAAAATTTGACTTGACTAAAAAGTGGTAAGTTTTTGGAGGAGTTTAGAGCTGTCAACAGTTAATATAGACATCTGTCTATGTTTCAGCCTCTGATAGCTATTTTGAAAGTTGTCGACTGGTGTAGAGACAGAAAAAAAAAAACCAACTAGACCCTGTTTTCTGCTCGTCCCAAAGTGCAGGGGTTTAAAACCTTGTCATTTAAATCGTATCCCAATGGAAAATCCTCAAAGAACAGGGCCTAGTTTTCTGATTCTACTCCAGCCGATGACTGTCAAAATGTCTATCAGAGGCTGGAAGAAGTTTCTAGAAACAAGATATACTTTATATTTTTGTTGACTAATATGCAGCCTTTTTACTGATTATCTGTCACAGAATATATACTTATTTTTGTTAATAATTTGTGGACAAAGTTTTTTTCTATGCCCTGTATCAAACAATGCATGATCAGGTGAATTTTTTGTACTATTTGCTTTTTTATTTGTTTGTTAGGACCCCTGATAACATGTTCCATTTTCTTTAAGCTGTAGAAGCTGTAATGAAGCCAAGTATTGAATCTGCCCAATTGAAGTCTGCTGTGTCAAAACATGGTAAAACAAATGAAATAGATGATGATTCTGGTGTAACACCATTACCTGATGATCACTCTAATTCTGATGGTAAGATCATGTATTTGTTTAAATATAAAAAATTATTATCATTTGTGGCAACTCGAAATTATTCTTTATTTATGCTCTTTATACTTAAACCGATTGTTAAGAGGTTTTCAATGACAGCATCTATTTGCACCATTCCAATTTTCAAACAGATGTCTGTGGTTCTAAAACTCTACTAAAACTACCCCTTAACGGTAATTTTTGCATGCGAAGCAGATGTCAGATTTTCATTGAAGAAAGATACAGATATGAAAAACTTTTTAAATTTGTATTGTTAGATTCTGAAGTGCTAGGATCACCAGCTGGTAGTCTGGATCTTGGTGAAGATGACGATATTGATCTAGAAAAAGAGATATCATTATTAGGTTACAAGTAAGTTTTAATGCACTCAAATGCCTTATTAGAGCATCTTGCTTTGATTTTAATCTGCAGAAATATGATGTGGTGCTAGGCAGGGTATGCTTACTCTTCTAGACACCTGATACCTTTTTCATAATGAAATATTTCATCCTTCAGACAACTGATCTAATAACTTATATGAATAGTTTGTTAGCTGATGCCAGTGTATTGCCAAACTTTCATTTTGGATTTTGAGTTTGGTTTTGCGGTTCAGATTGTGAGTTATTGGGTTTTTTGTGTTAAGAAGTAGTAAATCAATGAATTTGTGTTCTTAGGGTTCTTTAAATTTAAATGCTGAAATATTTTGCTATGTAAATTTTTGTAGTTACCATTAGTAAAGCCTATATTGTTATATTTTAGTGATGATATACCAAGTAAGATGTCATCAGCAACTTCTAGCATAGAGGTAATGGAGGAGGTAAGATTTATCATCATAAAGACACAAATCTAACTTGCTAAAAATATTTTCCATTGATAGACTAATAGCCTAGTTTCCTTCAATATGTTCACTACAGAAGTGGTCATTTGTTCATCCAGTTCAGTATGTGCAAAACAGGAAATGGATTTTGGGTCTTTTTGCCAAGGAAGGAAGGAATATACTACAGAAGTAGTTATTTCATATTTATCGTAATATAACACTTTTGTTTATAATGTACCAATATATGTTTATTGTACCAAAAAGACAGGATTATAGAGGGACTATGATATTGGAAGATTCAAGAAATATTTCTCACATATTATGGTGTTTATTACAGAATATGGATATGAGTATATCATTAGCTTCTAGTAGTACAACTGAAACAATTCCAAAATCATCCAACATTCAACAGTCTTCTAAACATTCAAATACTGGCTTTTCATTGGATGATTTGTTAGCTGAAAAGGATACAGAAGTGAGAAATCGCGACCTTTTACAGATGCAAGATGAACTGAAGGTAAGGGCAATTAGGAAGAGTTGAATCACAGGTGGTTAGAGCATTTAGATCCGCATAAAAATCTGGTTTATTGTTTAATTTTGAATCTTTAGGTCTAAATATGACTGAACCAATCTCATCCACATGAAGTAATTGCAATACCATATGTATTTTTCATTAGGAAGATATCAAGAAAGGTGGTTTTAAAGTTCTACAGGAAGAGGCTCTAGCAGATTCTTGTAGTAAGTATTTATTGCTACTAGTACTATCACTTAGTACCAACTGTAGCTCTAATGTCCTACCGCTGTGTTTCTAAATCCTCTTTTGGAGCTGCGTTGGCTCAGAGAGTTAGACGCTTGCTCGCTAACCTGAAGGTCCGGGGTTCAATCCCGGCATAGGTTGAGATAATACCTTCGAATTTTTCAACCGGGTTTCCACCTGTTAGTGATGCAGGAACGAGGGGATGACATGGAAAAAGCGTCTAGTCGATCGGATGGGAATAAAAAGATGAAAATATTTCTTGAGGTAACTTCAACAAAATTATTTATTATAGATGATTTGTTACCAGAGCAAGAAAGAGAACTTGAAAAGGTTTGTGTTTTTTCAAAAATGGAGAAAAACGTCTCGATAACTAGATATTGCTGTCTAAATATTTATTTTCCCAGGGCTCCATTTTATGAAATCATATGTAGCTTATTCAGGGATATTTGGTTGTTTTTGATGAATATTTATTACAAGAGGATATATTCACTTTGATTTTTTCTAATCTAACTGCATGTAGAAGAACATGCCATAATGCCCCTTTATACAATAAATATAAAATGTATAAATTATTTTACCTGTATGGTTTAAGACACTTTTTCATTTTAAATCTGCACATGTGCATTCATATTTTCTGTATTATAGCTACAAGTATCAGATAGTGTTATTAGCGAACTTCATCCTGGAGAAAAAGTCTTTCATTCCGAGTTATTTTTGAGAGTATTCAATGAATTAATGAAACCTAGTCATTGTGGTTTTACACCTGGTGGTTCATTAATAGATCAACAACTTAGTAATGTACAATCAGGTTGGTATATAATCATTGTGTTTTACATCTAGTGGTTCATTGATAGATCAACAACTTAGTAATGTACAATCAGGTTGGTATATAATCATTGTGTTTTACATCTAGTGGTTCATTAATAGATCAACAACTTAGTAATGTACAATCAGGCTGGTATATAATCATTGTGTTTTACACCTGGTGGTTCATTAATAGATCAACAACTTAGTAATGTACAATCAGGTTGGTATATAATCATTGTGTTTTACATCTAGTGGTTCATTAATAGATCAACAACTTAGTAATGTACAATCAGGTTGGTATATAATTGGTATATAATCATTGTGTTTTACATCTAATGGTTCATTAATAGATCAACAACTTAGTAATGTACAATCAGGCTGGTATATAATCATTGTGTTTTACACCTGGTGGTTCATTAATAGATCAACAACTTAGTAATGTACAATCAGGTTGGTATATAATCATTGTGTTTTTAAACCTGGTGGTTCATTGATAGATCAACAACTTAGTAATGTACAATCAGGTTGGTATATAATCATTGTGGTTTAAACCTAGTGATTCATTGATAGATCAACAACTTAGTAATGTACAATCAGGTTGGTATATAATCATTGTGTTTTACACCTAGTGGTTCATTGATAGATCAACAACTTAGTAATGTACAATCAGGTTGGTATATAATCATTGTGTTTTTAAACCTAGTGATTCATTAATAGATCAACAACTTAGTAATGTACAATCAGATTGGTATATAATCATTGTGGTTTGATCTGAATGTACATAATAATATTTTAACTTTTATTTTTAGATTTATTAGCAGATTTTCTTGCAAGTGGTATTTTAACAATGTGTTTTCACAGAATCAATAAACCAGAGTCCATTTGTAGATGGTTGTTTTATATTAGTGAGTATTTTCATTTTTTTTTTTCTTTCTTTTTTCAAAAATTTGTGTTTCTTGCATATCACTTCCTACATTACAATTTTTGTTTAAAGATAATCGAAATAACTACATCATCATCAGGTTATCAGCATTTGCCTACTTTTTATTGATTTCCAACTCGGGAGGGATCATTAATGTGCACAGCCTGTAGCACACAGGGCCTAAGTTAACTGTCACATCTGAATAATTGAATACTTTTTCCATGTCAGTCCTTCAGACTTGCATCATTGATGGGGAACTGGGTTGAAAAATCCCACTGTATTATCTCCACTTATGGTACAGAGCCAACAAAAGAAAATCAAAAGTGGTATACTAATATCTGGGCAAAGAGTTTATGCATTTAAATTTCTACAGAAGTACTTCATAATGAAAACATTTTTTTCTAATTTTAGTGTCAATTCATCGAAGTTCTCTAGTTGTTCATAGCTGTCAAAGGTTGTTGATGGATATAATACAAACACAAGTAACATCAGATAACACTAGCATCACATGGTCACCCTCTCCACTTGATATTCTCAAAATATTCATTAATTATGGAGCAAAAACAGAGAATATTATACCAGCAGACAATTGTTATAGCTCAGAAGAAATAAGGTAGAAGACTTTGTTATTAATTACAAATCTCATTCTGTGTGGATCATGAGTATCACAATGTTTCAGTGTTTAATGCTTCTCAGAATACACCTTTTGTTAGAGTCACAAAATGCCATCATTGGAGAGGACTGGAATTTGATCAAACTGACATATGTTCAAGAAGNGCTGTCTTTAGACCCTAACTGAAGCGGCTGTTTAAAGATAAAAGCTCATAAAACAGAACG